ATGTCCAAAAACTGCTGAGCCTGTGACTTCTTCTCTGCATCCTTGGAATGGTTGGCCCTGTACTTCATGAGGTTCAAGACACGCTGCTGAAGCTGCATCTTCTCTGCAGCACTGGAGACGGTTTCTACCTCCAAGGCATCAGTCGACTTGCCCCTGTTCAACTTAGCAGCAGCAGCCTCTGCCTTTGCCTTGGCTTTAGCAGCAGCTTTGCAGTCCAAGAAGTGGAGACTGACTCCTTGATCTCCACGGCGTCGTAGCCTCGCGAGTCCGTGCACAGCACCTCACACGAACAAGCCGCGCAATGGACTCCATCGTGTCCACAAGGTGTGTCCGTCATAGGGGCTGCAGCTTGAAGCCAGCGCCGTGAAGTTCAGCCCATCGGAGCCTTTGTCTAAAGCCAACGTCCTCTGCCTCCAGGATTGAGATCTCGGCGTCATTGCTGCCGATGGCTCTTCTTGTCAGCTTCCAGGTGCGCCAGGCAAGAAGCATCATCTTTTGAGAGGAGCCATCCAAGCAAGTAGCTGGGGCAGCAGGCAAAACTTGGGTTCGCAATGAATACGATGTCATTCCACTTGCGGGTGTTCTCAAGCTAGTGGGAAACTCTGGTCAAGAGCGCCAGCCGCGGTGATCTCAGACGCTGTGAGTAGAGTGTAGAGGTTGACTTTGAACTGCTAGCCGCTGTAGGCCACCCAAGTCTTGCAAGCGCCGATCTCTTGAGGGGTCATTTGACCTTGAAGACGAAGTCTTTCAGCATCTACGTCGCCTTCTTGAACGTGCCATCTCGAAGATCATGGCAAGCTTGATTCTGCACGACGACAACGACATGATCTAGTCTTCTTTGAACCCCATTGGTGGGAGGATCCAGCGCAGCCTTGATCTCACACCACTCTGAAGACGACTCGTCGCCGATCAAGTGGAGTTGTCGACATGCCCTCCAATCAGACGATTGATCGATCGTGGAAACTGTCCAGTGCTTTCTCGCTCGTGCTTGGAAGACCAGCTTTCAAAGGGAGCAAAAGGGGGGATCCAACAAAGTTCGCGCGGAACGCTCTGTCTTTCCTTGATCTCACAGATGCACAGCCAAAAAGGCCCCTGGGCATAGAGGGCAACAAGGTTCACACACGTAGTTTTCCAGTGCCCCCTGTGCCTCCCCCAAATGATTGGCCGGCCAGCGCCTGCAGAAAAAGCGTGCGGGTTCCAGACCCTAGGTTTCAAGACCTGACTCCTGAATCCACCCCCCAGACCCTAGGTTTCAAGACCTGAGTCCTGAATCCACCCCTCCAAACCCTACGTTTCAAGACCTGACTCCTGAATCCACCCCCCCAGACCCTAGGTTTCAAGACCTGACTCCTGAATCCACTCCACAAGAAGCCTGTTTGTCAAGACCTGTGTCTAGGTAAACAACAATCAAGAATTAGCTAAACACCAAAAATTGTTGGACACGACCGGCCAAGGTCGATGATTTTTTCAATGTGTATGTTGAAAAAATAAAAACATTTTTCAACAGTTTGCACTATGGGCAAGTATTTTTTGCTTTTTTAAACTTGATTTATATGTTTGTTAAAACCGTACATGCAATGACGCTGGAACGCCAAACACCTACTTTCAACTATATTTTTATTTCGCTATTGCCTTGTGGCGAGGAAGTCTGGGCAAACTGGATGCAAAACAGCTACAGCACTGATCCTGATACTTTCCAGCTTGGTCCTGGCTGCACAATGCCAGGCAAACGTATGGAGCTTGCAAACATGAAATTCAATCCACGTGACCCACTTGCAGCAGCCACAGTTACGCCCCTGAAAGACAGGAGTCTAACTCCATCGGAGCATCGGCGGAGGGGAGTTGGTTGCAGGCGATTGGCGAGTCAATGGACACTGCCAATGAAAAGCATGAAAAGCCACAGCATCAGAAGCCAACGACAGACAAGCCTGCATTGAAGGTTACGATTCCTTGCCCTCCGGGACGGCAAACACTCACTACTGAGAGGTTCAACAAGTTTTTTGGTTTGGATTCGAGCGCAAAGTCAGCAAAGTCTCCGAGCAACATTGCACATGTTGCGTCCCCACAGAAACACGATTTGCCACAGCTGCTGCCTGACAAGGTTCCAAACATTGAGCAGGATCAGAAGGAACATGATGCAGGCGACTCCTCAGGTGCAAAGATGAGTGGTGAAGGTGAAGAAGTTGGGATTGCCTCTGCCTCAAACCACAGTCCCCAGGGTACGGGTACTGATGTTGCTGGCAATGTTGCCTCCTCCTCTGAGGCTACACTGAGGAAGCAATCTCTAGAGAGGGACACATCCAGGAACAGGAACAGGCACACACAGGAGGTGGCAGTGATGAGGACCTTGGTCAGTCCAATAATTTGGAAACCGCATTGGATACCATGACCATGACCGTGAACATGAATTCAGAAGCCACTTCTGAGCAGAAATCAGATGGGCCAGATGGGCCAGATGGGGATGGAACTACCACTTCCACTGGCAGCAATGTCTGTGTTGAAGCTGACACTTCTTCTCTACCTGTGCCTGTGCCTGGACCTAAGCCTGCGGCACCTGAGCCTGTGCCGGGCCCTTCTTTTTGCCCGAACCCTGCACCTGCAACTGCACCAGAGACTGTCCCCGAGATGCAGGCACAGGCAGATTCGGATTCTCCAAAGACCAGTCTTGGAAGTTGCCAGATTCAATCACTGACCGGGTCAGAGATGTTGTCAAGGGCAAAGAAGAGGGCAAACAAGCGCTTGACTAACAATCTGTTGGAAGGATTGTGCTTCCACAGCGATGCTCTGCACTTGATTCAGTCTGATCCAGACTATTTTGGCAAAGATGCTATCGAAGTGATTCTAGCGGCTTGCCAGGAGGACACTATCAGCACTTCATTCAGCGGAATTGAAGCACCACACACTGCCTCCTGTGCTAACCGCGTTGCCCTGGCTGAGTTCTTGGACATTGACCAAAAGCTGGTGCCAATGCCACGTCTCCTGCATATGATCGAGTGGGATGTTCAGAACCGCGCCGAGCTCATGATCATTGCACGCCAAACAGGAAGCTGCTTATTTGGAGATATCGCAAGCTTCTTCCGAAAGGAACTGCAGGAAACCATTCAAATGATCAAGGACACATGTTCAATCAATCTTGTTGTTGGACATTGGACAATCTGAAATTCTTGCATTCAGTCACTGAATTGTTGGAATGTTGAATGACTTAAAGACTGACCTGCCACACACATTCTGTTTTGTAATAACCGGATTGCAGACCTGAGAGTGGACCCACCAAAAGAACACAGAATGCTCAGAAAATAATCACAAAGTCCTTTGTCAGGACAATCCCGCCATGGTCGCTGACATCTTGGCACCAGTGATCGCGGGAGGAAATGCCATGGTCAACCATTCGTGGTGCTACTACCACCAGAAGCAATGCTGTATCAAAACAGCAGTTCGCCATACAGCAGGGACTTCTTGTGTGCCCTTCAGCAGAAGGGGTGTCAACTTAGGCCTAAAAGATGTAGCCACCCTCTATAGTCTGGCCTGGATTGATCTACGCTTGCTCTTGCAAGAGCCTGACGTGACACAAGACAGACCGGCCTTCAGATTGTTTTTGCGTTTTTTTTCAATGTATGTATGTTGTTTTGTTGCAGGTGTGTCTGTCTCCGTTTCTGTTAAACTTACGACTTACTATCCTCGGCTGACAAATTCTTGGCGGAATGTTGCGAAGGCAGATGTTTCCTTATTTGACCGGTTCCTCTCCGGGATCTACTGGTTTGAAGTGGTTGAAATTGAAGCCAGCCATCTGGGATGGGCTTGCGCCCGGCGCAGGCAATGTGCGCATGAGGCGCAAAACAAAAGCAACTTGCTGTGAAATGGACCCGGCATTAATTTTTGCGCTTTGAGTTCTATTACTAGAAGTCTTGGGAGTTTTGGGATTCTCAATTCTCAGACTTCAGAGCCACAACTAGTACTTAGTACAGGCATTCCATAATATTGACATGTTTAATGTAATGCATATGAGCAATGCATATGTTTTTTGTAGACCGGCTGAATGCAAACTTTTGTGGGTGTTGGATCACTGCACTGCCTGATCAAAACAATAAGTTTTGGGTATCAGTCTTGAGTTCAACAGAACACGCTCCATTGCAAGCCAGGTACTTTCAGAGATATCTCCTTTGTCTCGGTTCAGTCAGCGCTTTCTACGCGGCTGCAATTGGGCATGGCGAGAGTTCTTCTTTGCCCATCAGAAGCAATATCAGAAAGAACTGGTCATTTCAGAGGAATAAATGTGGGCTCAACAACGTCCTAGTCCTGGTTCACAGGCATTCGGGCAAGCGGCTGTTCATCCGGACGATCCCATGTGTTTCCGGAAGACCTTGACTGAATCAGGTGATTTCTTCAGACAAGTCTACACTGTTCTGTGGCCAGACTCAGCTTGCCAGCTGAACCAAAATCCCGATACGAGCTTTGAGACACACAGCGGAGGGCAAGTCCTGGCTACATTGATCCGCAATTCTCAGCTTGTGTACTGGAATGCAAGCAACCCAGAGCGATGGCTCACTGGTACAGAGCTTCTATGTGTTCAGGGTTTTCCGGTGCACCCTGAATTGCGAAAGGATTGCTCCATCAAGTTGCTAGGCAAATGGAATCAGGATTGAGCAGAATAATTTTGAATAACCAAGTTGAAACACAACACTCATGAGAAAGCCAGCCAGCTGGCTGACACATTGAGTCAATTGAGTAATAACTAAACCAAAAGCTCCCGAGTTATTCATTTATTCATGCAGTGCAGGTAGTCTCCACTCTTGCGTCCAATGTGCAGTGTGCAGTGATGCTGAGGTTCTGTTCCTTTCATGAGCCAAGGGATGAAAGGACTACAAGAACATTGGCCCTCCAATGCGGCAATAGCATGAATGCCCTTTGCATGGCTATGATTGATCTCCATAGCCTGTGGTCGTGGAAAAGATTGCAAACACCGGATTTGTTGAGGAACATTCATTTGGTCCGGAGATTTCTCAGCAAGCAACTTGATGAGCACTGTCGGAAGAGATGCCTGCCTACGCAGGAAGGGACCGCCTACGCCGAGGCATCATCATCATCGTCATCCCCATTCCAAGTTCAGGGAACACCACTACCAGCAATGTTTGCCGCCGCTCCAGCACCTCCAGTGAAGCGTCTCAAGGGCAAAAGTGATGGCGACCTTGTAAACATGAGCTTTTCTCTTTTGAAGCAAATTCGAAAGAGATAATTCAGATTGATATGAACAGTGGATCAGGCTGGCAGCATCCATCCAGTGAGCCAAGTGCACAGCTAACATGTTTAACAAATGACCAACTTGTCAAACAATAGCCTAACAGCCCAACAGCCTAACCTAACAACTACCAATTGGTTGTTAGTTGTTAGTTGTTCTGCTTTATGTGTTGCTGTTGCTGTCAGGCCAGGTTATGTTTGAAGCAGCGGGCTGTCAGGAATGTCCGCAATGTGCCTGTTGGCCTGTTGGATATTGTTTTGATCCTCTGTCTCTGTCGCTGGGTGCATACCATATCCTCACACACTTCAAGTTCCTGTCTTGTGCTGGCATGCTGGAGCAAAAGTTCCATCGGTCCATCAAATACACGTTTTAAGTTGCAAAGGAGCAGCATTGCAACGTTCGCAGCCTCCCTGGTGATATGATGAAGGAGACAGTCCGGTGATAGTGATGAAGTAATATTGCAGCAAAAAGATAACTTTAAAGCCTTGAGCTATTTCGGTGTTTCTCATTTTGTCAATCTGTGTCTGTATTTTGTGTCACGTGTGTGTGTTTATTGTGTTAGTTGTGTTGTTTGGCTTGGGGAGGCTGCTGCAATCCATGCTGAATTCAAGTAAGCGCAAAGTACAGTGGCGACTTGCGTCAGATTAACCGTCTGACCCGTAGTCGTCAGAGGCGTGAACTAGACTATTGACTATTGGGGCAAAGGGGAGAAACAAGAGGTGGGAGGGAGTCAGTCGGGTCAGTCAAGTTGTCGGCTTGTTTGTCTGCCTAGGAAGTCCTGAAGTCCTGTAAATGAATGCTGAACGACTGAACGACTGAACATGGTCTAATGCGGCTAATGTGGTAGGCTGGTCCAGGTTGGTGCATGGCCTTGTGACTATCCTGACTGTGACAATTCTGACAAATTGACACTGGGCACTTGACAACTTGACAACTTCCAGACAGACTGAGCAGCATCGAGCATCGACGGTTTTGACTGTTTTTGCTGCTAACCTCATGATTCACGAAATGAATTCATCATTCTATATTGGCTCTATCTTGAGTCATGAGTCATGAGTAATGTGGACATCCGGCACAGGTGAAGTGAATCTCCAAGTGACGACACAACTAAGCTTGGACCTCAGAGGAGGTCAGAACTTCAGAACGGCGGCCACGCAGTCTTTGCAGTCTTTGTCTTTGCAGGAATTGTCTAATGTTAATGTTCAGTCATTGTTAGTGTTTGTGGTTAGTGGTTAGAAGCCTAGAAGGAATACGATTTGATTTGCCTCTTTACTCATCATGGCTCACATCTTCTTCACTCACTTCACCCATGTTGAATGTAGAACCCGTGTTGCCCTATTGCTCAAATGCTTTGTTTATACTTTGAGGCTGCATTGCAACTGTATTGCATCTGTACTGTACACCGTACGCGTACACCACCGCGGAGAGAGATCTCCAGATCCACACGCCATGGTGGAACCTAGTACAACTGCTGTGCCAATGGATTCCAGGACATCCAAGTCTAAGGAACAAGAGAGGCACGGTGCCAAAGGCTTGCTAGATGACCGGACGCCAGCACAGCTGTTGATCCAGGGCATAGACGTGTCCGATGGGAGCAAGTACACTTGCAAAGACCTTTTCGGTGATCTTACCGGCGCTTCTCTCATGGATGCAATTTGGGAAAAGTTTGGGGTGGGGGAGCAAGATGTGGAGTGGTTCTACAAAACGGACGGAGGTGAGCAAGCTCGAACCATTATGAGATCCCCACTATCACGGCAGATACAAGAAAGCACGTGTTCCGAATACATGCAAAGGCTATACCGTGAAGGATTAAGCCAACTCGCATCAGGTTGCTTGGTGTTCAATTCAAAAACATATAACATTGTTGTATGTTGTTATGTTTCTCACTGTTTCACAACAGGCAAGCCACTGCAATAAATTGAACATACAAACCAATTATATAAACAAACAGCAGCAGCAACTGGCTACCAGGCAACCAGTTAGCCAGGAAACGCGTGTGTGTGTGTGTGCGCGTGTGTGTGTGTGTGTGTTTGTTTGCTGAATGTAGCGGGTCTGTTGGTTTGCAAGACATGGTCAGACTGATCTATTTCGCAGTGCGAATGCTGAGGAGACGCCGTTTTTCGCTTTCGTGACAGCAGTCACAGCCCACCGTATGAAGCTGGCTCCTTCAATCACCGCGCTGAAAGCTTCTACAGGTGCTACAGCGAAGCTCCTGATCATGACATGGTCCAGAAGGTGTTGAAGAAGGGTCTCACAAAAGTGAAGTTCATGTATCTTGACATTGAACTTCAACTCAACTGTAACTTCAACCCATTCAATATTCATATGTTCATATATGTTGGTCTATAGTCTATAGTTTTGTAGTTGGTGGTTAGGTATCAAGGCCACACCAAAGAATCAAGGTCAGAAAAGATCAACCCGGACGCCTCGAGCCATTTCACTGAGATTCACAACAAATTTCACACTGGATCCGGTCAATCCCATATGGACATTTGTGAAGAAGCACTTTCTACAGAATGTTCCTGGAAGGAGTATTGCACGCGCACGGGAATTAGCAACTTGGGACAAGCTAATTGTAAATGTTTTTTTGGGGGGCGGGGGGGCGGGCAGGGGCTGACTTTTTGACTCTTTGACTCTTTGACTTTGTACTGAGTACTTGAGTACTTGAGTCCTTGATTTCAAGTCATCGGCGCCCATTGCCACTGCCATTGCAAACATCCAGCTCAGATCAGCTCAGGCGCAAACAATCCCAAGTATTCCTCCATGTATGAGCAGTTCGTCGTGGGTGGCAAAAGCGAAACTTTCAAGAAGTGGCTGCCATATACACAGGCCCTCTCTCTGGTGCATCTCCTCAAGTCCTATGATGTTTGGAGACTAGCCTGATGTCTGTAACAATCTCCGGAAGTTTCTTAGGTGATTGTTTAAACGGCCGGGCAAACAAGCTCTGAGGGCAGGTCAGGTCTGCTGTTGTTTGCGATGGTGATAGGCGAATAGGCGATGGGTGATGGGATGCTAAATAATGTGAATTGTGATCATGATCATGATGATCATGATAGGAAGTCATACCAGTGATACCATAGCCATACTGTCACATTTTTAAGATATCAGTCTCTCAATCACTATGACGTGGAAGCTGAGGAACGACTTCAAGGAATTTTCCAATTCATCCTGCCACTTTTTGGATAGCCGTCTTGTTCCCCAGCAAGCCATTGCGCTGATGCATGAGCTGACCCTTCTCATCGTGACATCTATGAAGAAATTGTATGAGAAGAAGCATGTTGGACTTGTTCTGCTACAGGCCCTCAAGTTCTGCGCCAGAAGCTCAG